GGAATGCCGGGTAGCATTTCTGCCACCCGGCCCTTCGGAGCGGTGATCAGGTATATTAATTTTTCCCTGTCCGACCATTGGTTGTGTTCTGCTACGGTCTCGAACTGTCGCCGGAACACACTCCATGTTTAATTCCCGTTGAATGTCGGTGGCTGAGCTGTGCTCGCGACGATCGTTGATGTATTTCCCTGCTTGGCCTCCATTTGCACCATGTCCAACCGGGCCTGGAGCTTGTGTTTGGTTTCATCAATTGCTGCGCAGGTTTCATTGTAGTTTTTCGTCAGGTTTTCCTGGAGTTTATCTGTCCGTGCGCAGAGGGACACTTCAATCTGCTCAGTTATTTCTGACTGGAGAGTCTGTCTGTCGTGTTCAAAGATCGCAAAAATGTTTTCAATTCTATGTTGGATTGTCTCATTCAACTCTGACTGCACAGATCACATTTCTGCCTTCATTTCTTCCTTTTCGGTTTCGATTTTCTCTCGCAGTTTTTCTTGGCCGACTCTCCTCTCCTCTCAGTTGGCCTCCATAATGGCCAGCAACTCCTTATGGCCGGTTTTCCATTTGGCCTCCATCTCTTCTTGGTAGGATTTCATGTTGGCATCCATTCTGTCCTGATGGATCTGGAACATTTCTTGCAGCTGCACTCGGTCAGCATCTGCTCTTACTCGGTTTGCCCTCATCTCTTTCAGCATTTCTTCCTTCTCCGCCTTCCTTTCTTCCTTCTCGATCTTTCTATCGGCCTCTGCCTTCGCCAACATTTCGATTATTCGCTGCATCTCCATTTTGTAGTAGTAAAGTACCTGATGCACAACAATCTGTTTGTGGCGTGTTTAAGTTCATCCCACTTCTGACACCAATGTAACGTGTCTTGAGTTCGAATCTCGTTGATCACGTGTGTAAGTCCAAATCCCACTTCTGACACCAGTGTAACATGTTTCGTTACTGAATACGCCGTAGAGATGGTTAATTGGTTTATTTAACAATCTACAAATAACGGCTACAATTAATTATAACACAGTTGCGGGGTTTCACACTTTATAACCCTAATCGCAATAATCTGTTACCACTGTTGCGGGGTTTCACACTTTATAACCCTATGCGCAAATCAGTTCACTCTGTCTTCAGCAGTCTACACGTTTACAGTAGCGGAGCTATACAAGTCTTATCTGAATTACACACTCCAAATATAACTGTACTACAGCACTCACTAAGTCTCGAAAGCACACAATAAGTCTTCCGCTCGCTGAATTCTTAGTTATCGCACACTGTCACATAAAATCTTGTAACCATGCATTCGGGTCTTCTTCTCGCGACTGCTGCTATATTTCAACTCTGCTCGCAGGCTGCTGCCTTGAGGACTGTTAATAACACACTGGCTCTCGCTTGCTGCTCAGCCGGCTTTTATTCCGTTCGCTGTTACCTCGCGCCGTCTTACGTCACCGCACGTTGCACATTACATTACCGTGCGGAGGGGGGGAGGGGAGCGCTGACTCACCCGCCACGTCACTGTGGCCTGAGTTGCCACGTTGCTGCTGGGTAGGGAGGGGTTCTCCGTTGCGCAACATGTCACAATATTAACCTTTAAACACCAGACTATTCAAATGGTGGTGGTTTCAGCAGGCCAGAGTTTATTTAAATGCCTGCTGTTGATCTGCATTTAAATGTCCATTCCTGTTAGCGTGCTTACTCTGTATTTGAAAGTGCTGTATCTAATATTATTTTTATGATAAATGAATGGAATTAACTTTGTTTTTATCAGCAAAGAACACAGTGTCGCATATTAGAAAATAAGATTTGAAAATATGTAGACAAAAGTTATAAACTACTTTTTGACGAGTACTGTAAAAATAGTGCCTCACTTCTTCACATAGTAGTTCTGCATTATAAAATCACTCTTGCTTGTAACACTTGAAATATTTTTGCATTCTCTGGGGCCATAAAACAGTTGGAAGGAATAAAGTCATCTGGTTCTCTGCTGGCAAGTTTCACGTCTTGTCACATCTTCAGATATCCCTGTCTTTTGACTAAAGGAGAGAAAAGTGAAAACATGACCTTTCAGGAAAGGCTATGCAGGATATTTCCATTGTTTCCTACTTGAATGCCAAGCCCTGCCACTGCAACTGCGAGAAAATATTGCCCTTTCTACGGTATCAACAAACGCTTGCATCGCAGCTGAGATACAGAGTGCATTCGATTTTCTCTGAGTTCATAGAGAATTTGAATTTTGTAGTTTCATTTTATCATACAATGGTAATTGTAATGGCGCAAGGGTTATGTACAAGTAGATATGTTTTTTTGGGTAAATTTGGAATAAGTATATCTAGACTTTTAGATTAAGAAACAGAAATGATGAAACGTACCACGAAGCTTAGGTTTGCAAAAGAAGTGTAACAGGCTATAGCTTAGCAATCAGAATGCTAGCACGACAGCGTAATAACGCTGACATTGAGGAAGAAGCTATATGAAGTAGGCCATAAACACTATGGCAGGAGGAAAACGCTGAGTCGGAGAAGGTGGTAGACCCGAAAGAGTCAACCCCTTCTTGATAAACAGCCAATGAGTGGGCCACATCGACCCGAATTTACGTCAGAATGGGCGGGCTAACACACCCCGGAACCCAACGAATCAGCAAAAAGAGGGTACATAAACCCTAGAAGAATCAATCAAAAAAACCTTTTGACTTTTGACTTTTTAATATTATTAAGTGACATAGAGTTCAGCCAGAGGCTATCGCCGAGAGAGCGATGGCAATGAGTGGGCGTTGGTTGGTGATGGCGAGCATCTGTTTCTTCAGCTCAAGTAAGTGAACCAACTTCATATAGCCGTGAACAATAAGTGTGATAATATTAAAGTGCAACCCCAAAGAGAGAAAGTGCAAGCTAGAGGGACTAGGTTCACTAAGAGATACAGAGGCGTAGAATACCCGACAGCGGGGTGACAGGAGATAGAACTAATGTGGTGCTACAGGGTCATCATCAAATGTAATACGAACCGACGAACGTTGGCAAAGTGTGTATATAGTATCTATATAGCGACATAGGGAAATAGCATAGGCATGAGCTGTGATATTAATCCAACCTAGCATTTCCTTAAGTGTTACCCCCTTCCCTAACGACTGCAGCCCCTCCCAAAGCTTCGGCGAATCGCGAGTTAAGCCAGGGCTCGTGACGTAATCAATGATACGTTTACTAGAGTTTTCTTGACATAACAAGATGGTGGCAGCATACTAAACCGGGTGACAGAGCGGGATACCTCCACGCCCCGTCACCTCGGCGTAACAGTGGCGACAGCGGTGAGATAACCAATCCACCCGTCATAAGGACGTAAGGGCATAACAGTGGTGGCAGCGGTGGGATACCTCCACGCCCCCCTGCCACCACGGCATAACAGTAATGAAACGTTGTTTGGAAGATGATGAAATTGAAAGGCAGCTGAAATGAAGATATTTGACGTGGGACTGTACTTTCTTGGGTGCTTTAAAGAGTATTACACAAAGGCAATATTCAGTTATATGACGCATGGGTTGAACTCTGTATATATGTCAAGCATATAAGAAGAAAATGTCTGTATACTGAACTTTACTATATTTAAAAATAAATATTTAGGATTGTGCAAATGCTTCCACTAGCAGCGTGTGTGCACACTTCCGCCAGTGGGATGTAAATGCCCAACTGCACAAATCGGGGTACTCTGGCCACTTCCACCATACTCAACAGTGTACCGATCAGTGCACTTCAGATGCTAAAGGTTAAAATAAATACTGAATGCCATTCGTTAGAACCTCTACATTAAGTGACAGAATTCAAAAGAAAACTATAAGTGAAACACCATTGTTACCACTAGTGCAATACTGTCAAATTCTGAAATTTTGTGATAATACATGTTCAAAGAACATGCAACTTTGTTAAGGAAACTGTTTGTAGACTGTAAATATGAGGGGCGTTCAAGTTCTAAGGTCTCCGATTTTTTTTCTCAGGACTGGGAGCAGATAGACACATGCGGTTTAGTTTAAAATACATGTGCACTCTTTGTGAATGCGTGACAGAGATGGCAGAACTCTACGGCACACAGAACTCTAGTGGTAGCCGCGAGAGTGAGGAGTGTTTCTGATACTTAAAATGGCGACGTTTTCATTACAAGAACAGCGAGTAATCATTCGTTTTCTCCACTTGCGTGGTGCGACACCCATTGAAATTCATCGCCAGTTGAGTGAGACGTGTGGTGATGGTGTCATGAATGTGAAAAATGTGCGTTCGTGGCCGTGACAGTTCAAAGAAGGCCAAACATCGTGTGACAACAAACCAAAACAATCTTGGCCTCGCACCAGCCGGTCTGACAACATGGTCAAGTGAGTTGAGAAAGTTGTTTTGGAGGATCACCGACTGAGTGTAAAAACATAGCCTCCAAAGTTGGCATTTCCGTGGGATCTGTGCACAAAATCCTGCATGAAGACCTGCGAATGTGGAAAGTGTCCTCCAGGTGGTTGCCACGAATTCTGGCGGATGACCACAAGGCTGCATGCATGGCAATTTGCCAGGCGATGTTGACACGTGATGAAGGCATGAATGGGACTTTCTTTTCATCAACTGTGACAATTGATCAGACATGGATGCCATTTTTCAATCCGCTATTGCATCAGCAATTTTCCAGTTGTCAAAACAGACTCCTACAGAAGCGTTCGCAGCGGCCATGGAATCATGGTGTCGACACTGTGAAAAATGTGTACGGCTGCAGGGAGATTACGTTGAAAAGTGACAGAAGTTTTGAATTTTTTGTATGAGTATTGTGTGAGAAAAAAATCGGAGACCTTAGAACTTGAATGCACAACGTACAATATGGCAACTGTGAAGATTCTACATCTATCTTTCAATTTTAATAGCAAAGGTTGATGAACCAGCTTGGTTTTACTTAGACCATAAATCACATCATATATTTCTTGTTATATAAATTTCTCCACTTCCACTTCCCATATTACTTTGTGCTTAAGAACTGACACTTACCATTTTTCTCATGAATCTGAACTAGGGATTTGAATGACTGCTGTGCTCTGGCCAAGCTGTACTGACCCTGTAGAAAAAAAAAAGAAGAGTTCCTTATGTTAAATATTTAAACATTCAGAAAGAAGTGACCCCCAATGCATGACTTTGTGAAGTATGTACAATTGCAGGATAAAATTCTAAAGCCTGTTGCTCTTCTGAACAATAGCTGAATTGCACACTTCAATAACATAAATTCCTAAGGATCCACTATAAGCATACTTAAAATCAATCTACATCTTTCAATTATTCACACAGCTGGAAAATTGTAACACTTTACTCTTTGTTGAGTAAGCAAATATATGGATTTTCAGTATCTTGGCTTAATTTGGTTCATGCATATACAGCATCCCTCTCATGTCTTCAGTTATGGCCTGTGATAAATAAATCTGCCACAACACAAAACATGACAACTGAACAATCCCCATTATTCTACTGTCCTATTCATCCATCACAACAGTTGCTAGTAGCAAATGCAATAACATTTCCCACTGAACTACAGGACACATAACACATTTAATCAATTGTCCACATATGGCAGACACATTAATATTTCCTTGGCCTTCATGAGGAGTGTTCCCTCTTATTTATCCTGTTGTCTTAATAGATATGTAGTGCGATGGTATGTTATGTATTGCAAGAATCCACCATGGCATGTAACAAGAAACTGAGTACCATCACATGATGGATGTACCATTCTTTGAAGATTATGTACTGTTCTTTGAAGATTCTGCCGGTTCTAAGATTAATTCATGAGAATCAAGAGATATTAAAAGACCTGTCTCATAAAATTTCCATGTCAATGCCATTATTGACAATCCAAACCCAAAACATCACTAGATTACTGCCTGCCTCTTCCACATTTTACAGCAAACACAGTACTACCTGCCTACATTCAATACACTGGTCTAATGTCACTTGTGAGATCACTTATTGTAGAAGATTTTCTTAGACTACCTAAGTTATTAGTGCTGCAGCACACATTTCCACAACACATTTGTAACTTCACACATGGATTCCAGTACCAATGCCATAAAAGAAGTAAAGCTATCCCTGTAACAGGCCGTGAAGGCCCATAGGGTTTTGAAACGTTGAGGGTCCCACATTATCTAGACAATGGGCTCAAATATGGTGGTAAGGTTGTCAGCCTTACGCACCAGCCATGCTTTACTCCCATGGATAATTATTTAATTAATTGCTGGTACTCATTTCTGTTAGAGGCTGATTCAACCCCAGGGCCATAGTGCAGCTGGAAGGAATAGGTCAACTGAAAAAATTCAATGACCTCATCAGGACTTGAACCTGCAACCTTCAGGCTTGTAGCATAGCCCCTCAACCAACTACACTACTGTGTACCCCTACCAGTGCCATAACTGAAGGCTGATGTTCACAATAGGAATAATAACCAACAGCCTTATCAGAAAATGCATTGGACTGAGGACACTGTTTTTGACACTCCAATGCTTTAGAAAACAATGTCCTGGAACCAGTCATTTTTTCACTTCAGTGACAGAAGTACGAGGGGGGAACCAAAAATAACCGGAATTTATTTTTGTTATTTTTTATTTTTGCATTTTTATTGAACTGTATATTAGTCCCTTTCAAAGTATTGTCCATGTGCATTAATGCACTTGTCCCAACGCTTTTGCCACTGCTCAGAACAGTGCTCGAATTCTTGAGGCTGGATACTGTTCAAAGCCTTTAGCGTGTTTTCTTTGACTTAATCCACATCACGGAATCGCTTTCCTTTCAGACTTCTCTTCATCCGTGGAAACAAAAAAAAGTCCGACGGAGCCAGGTCGGGTGAGTAAGGTGGATGAGGCACAATCAACATGTTGTTGCTTGTCAAAAACTGTCGGACCGTCAAAGCTGTGTGGGCTGGAGCATTGTCGTTGTGAAGCAACCAGTTCCCATTTCTCCAAATTTCGGACCGTTTTCGTCGCACACTCTCTCGTAATCTTCGTTAACACATCCAGGTAAAAATGTTGGTTCACTGTTTGTCCTGGCGGAACGAACTCTTTGTGGACAATGCCATTCACATCAAAAAAACAAATCAACATTGTTTTCACATTGGATCGCACTTGACGCGCTTTCTTCGGTCGTGGTGAAGTTGGAGTTTTCCACTGGCTTGATGATTGCTTTGATTCTGGATCGTACCCGTAGCACCAAGACTCATCGCCAGTCACAATTCTTTTAAGAAATTCTGGATCGTTCTGCACTTCACTCTTCAAGTCGCGGCAAACATTCACGCGGTTTTCTCTTTGGTCATCTCCGAGCAAGCGAGGAACAAATTTTGCAGACACCCGTCTCATGTGCAAACCTTCGGTTAAAATTCGCTGGACCGTGCTCCATGAGATGTTCGTTTCCTCAGAAAGTTGGTCAATGGTCTTTCGACGATCTTCATCAATTGCACGTTTGATTTTGGCAATGTTTTCGTCATTTCTTCCTGTCGAAGGACGCCCGGGGCGTGGCATGTCTTCTGTTGACATGTTGCCAGATTTGAAACGGGAAAACCACTCGTAGACCTGTGATTTCCCCAAAGCATCATCATTAAAGGCTTGCCGAAGCATCCCAACAGTCTCGGCTGCAGTTTTCCCTAACAGAAAGCAAAATTTCACGCACACTCTTTGTTCCTTCTGGTCGGCCATCTCACTAATCGCCAAAGGGTTGAAACAGGAACGCACACAACAGAGCACCACAGACAAACCACTTAACTCAGACTGACGCCAGCTCACTAACAGTCGCGGGAGACCCCCAGCTAACACCACCTAGCAGCACAACTCGTAACTACAAAGCATGCGCGTGCAACAGGTCGGTTCCGGTTATTTTTGGGTCCCCCTTCGTATGTGTGTTACCTCTAGAGACAGATTATATAAAATAAGGTCCATACTTGATAAAACAATAACATTTCAGCCATGTACACCCCCAAACAAAATTTAGCATTTGAGAAAGGGATGTTAGACTGGAGACACTAAGATTCTAAGTATACAATCCTGCAACAGTTCAGGGCTGCAGCATGGATCAGCAGTCAGCATCAGGCTACATTTTATACTCGTAAACTGATGATCCATGATGCAAGTGCCACCCCCATTCAGGATACTGTGCTTGAACTAATGAACCCCAATCAACCTGGGAGCACAGTACATACACACAATATTACAATAGTGTTTATATGGCAAAAGACCTGCATGAACAAAATTGAGGAATATGGTGAAAATCAGGGAATAATGGAAATCAAACCTGGGACCTTATGAACATTAGACTGTGGATACTTTGGTGGTCTAGTGGTTAGCATACCAGCCCAGTGGTTAAAAAGGTCTCAGGTTTGACTCCACCTATGACCACTGATCCCAATACAAAAAATAATTAAAAACATGCACATGTAACGTGAAGATGGAGCACAGCCAACCACCAAAACATTTTGCTCATCAAATGTACCTCATATAAGGGAATATATCAAACACAATATTGGCAGAATACCTTGTGCTCATTCATATACACTAGGCCTCAAAATAAACCATGCTGACAGGATAACATTCTTGAAATGCTGCATCTGACAGATAAAATGCGAAATACTTTCTATTTAAACAATCTAGTGTCTGAGTGTATATGAATTGGCTCCAAATTTACAATGATCTGTACAACTCAGACTGGTAACACTATGTCACGTCACATCACAGCTTGCTGTGCCACAACACCATGGTACAGTCTTCCTTCAACAGGCTGTCTCCAAACTATACAGCATTAGAACCGAGAAAAATGTAATTTTCAGAGATTCCAATGCCGAGAATATTAGGACATTTAGGGAGAAAATAACAGGCCTTCACCAAATGTTATTAGGGTGACAAATTCAGGAATGAGATAGCAGGAACATATTGTGGTTTTCTGGGTGACAGCAACACAGAAGTGGAAGTTGCTTCAATTATGATAGTAGTGAAGTATGGTATCAAAAGATGATTTTTGAGAGTTACACTTTGTGGGTGAATTTCCAAGTTTTGGTCAGAACTACAGTTCATTTCAGAAGGGGCATCTACAACATGGAATGAAGTGACTCAGATACGCACATCTGTAGAATTGGATTTGGAGTCCCATACTTTTTTTCACACATCAGGTGCTCCAGGGTTATACATTCAACAGTCTGCATGGAACAGGTTCATGAAGGTGGTACAGAATTATTTTTGCTCTGTCAGTTCAACAGTTTGTGTTGACATATCTACACAACAATGAACGGCTGGTTTCAGTGGTTTTCTTTTCTGATTCTTCATACCATTTCCATGCTTCAGGGAATGTTTGATTTTAGCTCAAAGTTCAATGATATCCTTTTCGACCAGACATGGCATTTCTTTTTGCCAGTTTGATGTGCTTCATCACTGTAACCTGGATTTGTGGTGGTGCCTTTGCCATAAAAACTCTCAGCACACTTGTCAATAATTAAGTTGCACCACTGCTGAGTGTTCATCTCCAATATCTAAACTAGAACGTTATATACTACTGGCAGAATTAACAGGTTAAGCTACATTTTGTATGTTAAGTTCTATCACTGACAAAAATAAGCATAAGTTTACCGTAAAAACCACACACTGATTCCAATTCCAGAAATGCAGCTGTGACTTATTAGACAGATATTGTCCCATGACAATATTACTTCAGAAACCGTAGCTCCTTATTTTATGAATGGATAACTACTGTTGTGTTTTTGTGAAACTGACAGAATCTGTTCAGTGAAGTCAATTATTGGCAACACAACACTTGTAAACATAACATCTGATTCAAACAGGAGTTCCAGGAAGCTCACGTTTGTCAATATTAATTTACATATGATTTGATATCTGCACAACTATCCAGGATGTCAGTCACTTAAATCAATAAGGAAGGCGTATTTCTGAAGTAACATTTACTTCTATAACTCTGGCCTGGAACACTGCCATACAGTACCTGGTTACAAACCTTGGCGGCACCAAACTGTATCCTTGCCTTTCCTTTCACTAATGTTGCAGCTATTTGCATGATGACAGCTTCTACTGTGTACGCTGAACTCCATCCCTGTTTCGTGAGCAGTTCCATGCAGATAGCTCCACCCACTAGAACATAACCTCCGGAGATGATTGGATGGACCACACGCACAAATGGTGGCTCAAAAGGATACGTTTCCTAGATTTGAAAAAGTTAGTCCATCAAAGAAATCGCAATGTTCAATCATAAAAACTGAAACATTTCTTCAGTATTCAAGTTTGTTAACATATGCTCGGTAGTGAATCCTCCGTACTTTTCAAGCTGGTTAATTAACCTTTCAATGACATAGGACATTTAATTCCTACTCACTCCGTGAGATGGAGGATATTTAAACATTTAAAATGGTAAATGCAACATTTCACCTAAAGTGTAATAAATTGGGAAAAACTGAAGTTTTGTTTTTCTGATTTTCATACGACACGACATTCAGTCAGAAATGTATGAAATGTATATAGAATCGGTGTATTGATCCACAATGCTTTACAATTATTTTTTGGCACAGTAGGCCTATAAAAATTAGGAACAGTATCATATTATCTTAGAATTTCAGCTGGGTGTGTTAGTCCTGAAAACAGTCCACACAGACTTGAAAGGATTTTGACAATGGTGTATACTGTACAGAACTATAAGGCTTATTTTGGGCTTTATCCATCATCTGGTGTATATATAAGACAAAAACCGCAACATTTCAGAGACTGGATCTGTCTCCATCCTCAGGTGGATGGGCCAGGATAGATCTACTCAGCTGGGCCCCTTAGAGAGAGCTAGTCTCAATCACTGAACAAACACCTGTCAGTAGAGAACAACCTATGAACACTTGACAACAGGTTCCATCATTGAGAGATAAGAATAAAATCACAATAAAAGACAAGCTAAAACTTTTGTGCCAAACATGCACATGTCAAAAATGTGATAAAACAGTGGTATGGATTAAGTTCCAGGAATTAAGTTAAAAACGAGGGTAAAAAATATAGAGGATGTATAGCTAATTATGCAGGTAAAGAATCATGCCCCCAAGGTGACTTCTCGAAAGAAAACTAGCAGATGTAGCGGAAGACACTAATGTTCATAAAACTTTCACTTCGACTTTTTGACCTTTTCATTGATGAGGGGGATCCATATGGGAGAAATATCCAAACTGGGCTGGCTGATCAGATTAGATGAACATGCCATGTGAGCTGATTCCTTATACTTTCTGTACCTGCTGTTACTTTCAATCTCCAAGACCCTAGCTTCGTCCCAGCCTACCATATGCCCTCTTCATATGCATGCTGAGCCAACTTGGATTTCTTTAGAAGACCCTGCTTGAGATTATGCCTGTGTTCTTCAAAACTAAACACACTTTACGATCTTCGCTTCTGAGAAAGAGACCAAAAAGGAATCCTCAACAGACGGCACATTGCGTCTATAGCATTCCCTGTGAATGTGGCAGAAGCTACAATGGTGAAACAGGCAGACCACTGGCCATGCGAATCCGCAAAACTCCAGTTTCCAGGGTCCTCAAGGGATTAGGGCCTCTTTTAATAGAAGTGAAACATCATCACTATAGCCATATAAACTCTACATTTACCTTTCAGTTTGATAGTGATATCTAACCCCCCCCCCCAAGGTATTTGGTGTGTTAAAATTTTCTGACAGATCACAACTATACCTATAAATTCTGCAAGAAATATTTTTATATATTACTGAAACTAACAAAAGTATTTCTATAATCATTAATTTATAGTTACTTCTAGCCTCAAAATATAAACCAAAGCCTTTGACATAAAGCAGACATCACAAGTTCTCTCCAAACAGTTTTGTTTTTAATCCATTTCCACTCACACTACATCTGCTATGACGCGGAGTGGAAAATTACACTGGCAAAGCATTCAAATCAGACAAATAATATAACACATAATAATTTGTGGCAGTTACATAAATGGGAATTGTCCAAGAGAATTACCTTAAAAGTCATATTAAGTAAGATGCTATCCTTTCCTTCCTTCTCTTTGAGCAGTACCAAATCATTATGCAAAGGAGAATCTGGATCAACACTCATCAGTCTGATGTTCCATTCATACAGGCTGTCATTCACCAGATCAATACTGTACATCCCTGTACAAAGAACATTTGATTGTAGAACCATCTCTTCTTAAGGACATCCTATAAAGCATTAGCCACTTAGCAGTATTCCCAGAGCGGAGAAACAAACCGAATTTCAAGTCAGCAGTGAAAAGTAGCTTTGTTGTTGATTTTAAGTTACAAAAAAAAACTGTCTCAAAATTGCAATTATCTTTTACCAGACCTTCAAATGCTGATATCATTCCTCCCATTCGTGGTCAACTGTCCTGTGAAAATGGGACTGGTGAGTGGTATTCAGCACATGGCATTTCTTTTACCCACTTTGCAAGCAAATTTGGGTTTCCTGAGCACAGCCCCATCTTATGACAATCTCAAGTTGAGCACCATTTCCATACATCCAGGCTAGACTGTGAAATCAGCCATTCCTCTGTACTCACAAACTCTCCTAACAGCAGTGTCTAACTAAATAAGGAAACATCCATAAGATGCAAATAGTGTAATGCAATGTTCAGACCTGAACTAGTTGGTTAGTTAGTTAGTTAGTTATTGGAGAGGGTGGGTTTCCCCATGCACTGCGACAGGGTTTGATCTATTGTGCTTCCCTCTATGATATTCTACCAGTCTCTATACCCTACCGATATTGGTGCGTACCATCAGTCCAGACCGAGCCAGCAAGTTCGGCCTCTACTGGCTTGGTGGTATCTATAATGCTTCCCCCATCTATCAGAGGCGTTAGAGACTACTGTTGGGCAGGAAACGTCCTTGAATTTGGCTCAGTGACCTCCTTTGGAGATTTGAGGTTCTTTTACGTGCCGTAAAGCTATGACACGGGACCCACGGCTTAAAGTCCCTCCCAGAGTACTTGTTCTCTGAATTTTTCCGCCCTTAAAAATTCCACGACCTCCGCCAGGTTTGAATCCGCGTACCACGAGCCATGAGGTGGGAACGTTACCTCTAGACTACGGAGGCCGTTCAGACCTAACTCACTCCATTGAGCTGAGTGCTTCTCGGGAAACCGCCAGTTGCTCACCTACAGAAGAATTTCCCAACATTTTATGGAAGCCTAGAATTCTTTACCATGTCCACAAAAGCACTGGTCCACTGGTTCCCATCCTGTGCCAGATGAATCCAGTCCATACCACCACATCTTATTTCTCTAAGATCTACCTTAATATTATTTTCCCATCTATGTCTACGACTTCCTAGTGGTCTATTTCCTTCTGGTTTTCCCACCAAAACTACACATTCCTCTTCTCCCCAATGGTGCTACATGCCCTGAACATCTCATCTTCCTTGACGTGATTATACTAGTTAAGGTTACGAAGTTCCTCATTATACAAGTTTCTCCAACCTCCTATTATTTCATCCTTCTTTGGTCCAAACATGAATTTTTTACCTTTCTTAAAGCTATCAGACCGGTAAATATCCCTCAGTTCTTTCATGAGCCTATCAGTTGCTTGAACAGAACCAGACACAGATCCTTTTAGATAATCTTGCCGTTGATTCTGTCTTAGCCGTTCCAATGTTGCCAGGTGTTCTGTGTCCATTTCATCCACCTGGAAAAAAAATATACATGCATAAGAAGATCACTTCTCAGAAGCCACATCATTAATTACAACACTTTCTTATACAGCTGTTTGCTGTAACCTTCCTAGGTGAGCTCAATAACACTGTAACATCAGTATGACCCATCTGACAAACAAACGTGTGTGGTGGCTTCATATACCTCTAATTTGTCAGCTGACATAAACTAATACCCTTGGTCAGATGTTATACGCACTCAACCTTGCCTTCTCCTCTTTTCTCAACCAGCTACAAAATTTGCAGCTACATGGAGAACTACCAACAACAAGCAATGTACAGTACCATAACACTGTGCTGTTTAACAAAGTTCCTTTGCAACAAAAGAGATTACAATTCTAATACAACTTTCAAGATGTTTAAGCAACTGAAAGTGACATTAAAAGTGTCTGTCAATGACATTAAAATGACACAGTGTTAATTGATATGACATCAAGTGATCATTGCTTGCATTCATATGCAAAATTGCATTAATTTCCTATATCTATAATGAAATTCACAAGGTTCTGGCTCTTAACAATCCATCCACTTCTCTTCTGCCGCTCTGTATTGTTTGCCCTGCATTTCCAATATACTTTGCAGATGAATGGACACCATTACATAAATATTCTACAGTACATTCTGTCAACCATTCACAATATGCATATTAGAAAAAGGTGAAGCTACATCTGACTTTAAAAAAAATGCAAGTGATGCCATGGTTTCCTGATCAAAATAATACAAGGATAGTTTAACCCGTTGCCGTGGTTCGACGTGTATGTTTCGTCAGGGATTAAATCGTCTGGGGGGGTTCGACGTGTATGTTTCGTCCAGCTGCACACCTATGTTATAACGCCCATAATAATTGATGGTTTTGCTGTAGATTGTTAGATTTTTCGCTGGCCTGTTGTCAGTAGAACAGAGTATAAATAAGACACGACTTTATCTGCGCCAAGTCATCATTACATATACCTGTCTTGCAGCAAAGTTCCTGTTGCTTCTGGTAGAGGTTCCTCGTTCAAGCTGTTATGAAAGACGTGTTTTCTTTGCTTTGAAGAAATAAACAGCAGAGACGTGATGTTTGTAATATAATATTGCCCTGAGCTGGCCACTCTAACACACTCAATTGGAATTCTTAGAATAAAGGATGTCCATAAGTTTATTCTCGCATGATCCATTGATTTCGCACAGTACAAAGGCCCAGTTCTTAGAAAAACGCCACAATTTAAGGCAGAACACTGTGGTCACCCCCTGAGACGATACGGATGTGTGTGGGGGAGGGAAAAAGAACTCATTCCTTCATGTATTATCGCTCCAGTTGACTCCATTTTATCGTACTGACCTTGGTGGTCGTTTCGAGGGATGACCATAAATATTTTTTTGAGCCAGCTAAGCTCTACTTTCGTTCACTACATACCAGACAGTTCTTAGAATAACTTCATGAATTCTGTGGTCACCCCTACGACATCTCCTGCCGCCAAAATGGATGGAATATCAAAGGCATAGCAACAACCCCTTGTTATGATAACTCGTAACGTTGAATTTACTACAGCTGACCTGGCAACTAAACGGGTCACGGAAAGACATTTCCTTGAACTATACCCCTCACGGGTAAGAAGGCAAGGCAGCACAAATGTGTGGTTAAAAAAAAGGGCCAAAAAAAATACACAATATTGGAGCGGAGAATGGTGAATGTGAGGCACCGTTGGGTTATACGAATGCTTCAAGGCCTTCCTTCTACTAAACCAACTGCCTCCATTACCGAGATACCGGGCGCTCATATTATAAGGTAAGGTTATAAAAACCATCTTTTAAGATCATTTTAGTGAAAGTTTCATGCTTCAAGGCGTACCATTCACTGCTCAAATACTAAAAAACCTGCTTCCATTGAAGATATAAAGGGCGCTCATATTATAAGGTAAGGTTATAAAACCACCTTTTAAGATCATTTTAGTGAAAGTTTCATGTTCCTATCTCATAGAATTTAAGAACAATGATGAATAAATCATTTTCGAGCAAAATTTAAATGGCTGGCTGAATATATTACCGCAGGAGACGCAGCCGCGGAATTTAAATTACCGCGTCAAAGAGTTAAAAAGCAATCTTATGTGCACCCTGTGTTCACTGGACTTAATATGAACTAGGATATACGATGGGGTACCCAAAAGAAACCGAACTAATTTTTTTGTGGGCAGAGCTTTTGTAGTACCATGTTTTGCCGCAATGAGCGCATAGAGCTAACGTTCCTGAGTCGATAAGCTGACTACCGTTGCTTCAGAAGGTAAGGACTAGTTTCGGCAGAGTTTATAGTGACAACTGTTTTGTGCGATCGTCGTTTTTGCAATGGCTGATTTTCATGAACAGCGTGCGGTGGTGAAATTCTGCTTTTTGCTCGGGAAAACTGGAACAGAAACTCTTGAAATGTTAAAAACGGCGTACAAGGACGATGCTATGGGGAAAACTCAAGTGTTTGAGTGGTTTTCCCGTTTCAAAAATGGTGAAATGTCAATTGATGACAAACCTCGTTCTGGTCGTACTTCCACGGCCCAAACACATGAAAATGTTCAAAAAATTCGTGAAAACATCAAGGAAGATCGACAACGGACCATTGAAGAAATTGTGGAGCTGTCGGGAGTGACTTGGAGCTCAGCGGCCAGATTTGTGGCAGTCGGGTAACTGGTTTTTCCATCATGACAATGCCCCTGCTCACACAGCCCTGTCTGTATGACAATTCTTGACCAAAAATGGTATGACCCCTGTTCCTCACCCTCCATACTCACCCGACCTTGCCCCGTGCGCCTTTTTTTTGTTTCCTCGAATGAAAAGAGACATGAAGGGAAAAAACGATGGAGGCGCTGTCAAGCATCTCAAAAGATGAATTTAGACAATGTTTTAAAAAATGGAATAAAAGACTAGACAAGTGTATGGAGAGTACTTTGAAGGGGATTGAAGGTTTGTGCTTAAAGTTTGAATAAATAAGTTTAAAAAAAAATAAGTTCGGTTTCTTTTGGGTACCCCCTCGTATATACAGAAATTAGATTAACCATGAACACAACAAATATACTCACATTTAATAAATTACAATTAGACTTTCTATTCCTGCTACATGTTTCGGTCGCACAAGACCATCATCAGGCATATATATATAGTTATTGAACTACCGATGTGGATCCATACCAGTGCAAAGTGTCATACTGTATACTAACAGATAAAATTTGCCTAAAGTTGGTGTTACAATGAATATAGAAGATACAAAATAAAACATAAAATAAAAAAATATATACAATGTATCATGATTTATAAAGTGTTGAACATATTATGGAAATACTGAAAATATTTAAAAAATATATTTAAACTGTTTAGTATGGGAGGTTAAGAAATATGTATGCCAACTTAATAATAAGGTTCCAATGCTATAGTGCAGAACTGGGCATGTTATGTCATTTGTAGGTCTTTGTTGTAGAAGCTTCCTACATAGTAAGCCCGGTCATGGAGCCCAGAGACAAGTTTCTAGCTGCAAGGATGAGTATGATGTACGGGTTGTTAACCTTTAAACACTGAACTTATAACAGGGTGTTAGCTTGAGCTGGCCGGAGTTTATTTAAATGCCCACTGCTGGTGCGCGTTTAAGTGCCCGTTGCTGCTCTGCATTTAAATGTCAGTTCCTGTTAGGACGCTTACACTGTATTTAAAAATGCTGTATCTAATACAATTTTTATGATAAATGAATGGAATTAAATTTGTTTTATCAGCAAAGGACATAGTACCGCAGAGAATAACGTAAGATTTGAAAATATTTAGACAAAGATGTTATACTCTATTTTTAATTCTTTCTTGTAATTTTGATGCATACTGTAAAAAGTGTTCCCTGCTTCTTCATAGGGTAGTTCTGCATTACAAAATCACTCCTGCTTCTAGCACTTGAAATATTTTTGCATTCACTGGTGCCATAAACCAGCTGGAAGCAATAAAATTATTTTGTTCTCTGCTGGCAAGTTTCATATCTTTGTTGCACTCTTCAGATATTTGAGTCTTTTGACTAAAGGACAGAAAAGTGAAAGCACTGCAGATCAAGGAAGGTTACAAGATCTTTGTTCCCTTCTTCAGTGCCCAGCCCTTCCACTGCATTTGAGGTAGAGTACTGCCCTTTCTAAAGTCATAAACAAACACATGCATCATAGCTGAGATTCAGAGTGCAATCAGTTTTTGTGCATTCATGGTAAATTAGAATACTGTTGTTTCATATCAGCATAAAATGGCAATGATACATTGCTTGGAAGGTGATGAAATTGAAAGGCAACTGAAGTGCAAGATATGTGATGTGGGACTATGCATTTTCAGGTGCTTCAAGAAATACAACACAAAGGCGAGGTTCAGTTACATGACATGGAGGATGAACCCTGTATACACATCAAGGAGATAACTACAAAATGGTATGTACATTGAATTTTAATCTATTTAAAACTAAATATATAGGACTGGGAATTCACTTCTACTACCGGAGTGTGCACATGCTTCCGCTAGCAGAGTTCAAATGCCCGACTGCACAAATCGGTGTACTTCAGCCACTTCAACCATACCCATCACTGTACTGATCAGTGCACTTTCGACGTTAAAGGTTAATTTGTGGTATATTATGTGTGCATATTTCACTATATGTTATCGTTATACATATGATTATAAAATATAGCATATGTGTTTTGTCTGGGCATATATATGTTCGGTGTGTTCTATACTGTGTACTGATTCGATGTAGACTGATCAGTGAAGTCCTGATATATGGCTTATATTTTATCTTTTATCTTATTCTGTATCTTCTAATTTAATTATAACACCAACTTGAGACAAACTGTATCTGTTAATATATAATATGACATGTTGCACTGGTATGGATCCATATCAGTAGTTCACTAACTAAATGTATTCCTATACATAAGTGCCTGATGATGGTCTTGTATGACCGAAACATGTAACAGGGATAAAAAGTTGAACTGTAAAACATTAAAAGCGACTATACTTGTTGTGCTGACAGTTAACCTAATTCGTATATATCTGGAACACACAACAGGATGCAACCAATGAAGATGAACTAGGATGCTCATGCAAATTCAAAATATACCACTTTTTTATTAAAATAACTTGCATTAAAAATATACTCAAACAATGGACTAAATGTTTTTGGATCCCAAACTTTGATAAATGTGTGTCAATACATAGGTAAGTCAATAAGTAAGTTACAAATGGATACAGAACTTAAATAAATAACATTATTGATTTGAAAAATGCTTTTATTTCTCAACATAATCTCCCTATACACTGAGGCACTTGCCCCATCATTTCACAATCCACTGAAAACCAGCAGCATAAAATTCTTTTGGCTGCTGTCGGAACCAGGCAGCGACTGGAATCATGAAGGCATACTGCTCACCACATTCCAGCCTCAAGGACAAACTGTAAATGTCGACTCCTACTGTAACATCCTCAGGAAACTTTGTAAGGCCATTCAACAGAAGCGACGAGAACTCCTCACCAAAGGCGTGTTGCTCTTGCATGACAACGCAGGTCCCCATACTGCCAACAAGACAAAGGAGAAGCTGCGAAATTTCAAGTCCTTGAGCATCCTCTGTACAGCCCCAACCTTGCTCCAAGAGACTTCCATTTGTTCGGCCCTCTTAAATATCATCTTTCGGCTAAACATTTTCCCGACAATGAAGCTGTTGAAAGGGAAGTCACCGCAGCAGCCCAAGGAATTTTATGCTGCTGGTTTTCAGGGGCTTGTGAAACGATGGGACAAGGGCCTCATTGTTGAGAAATAAAAGCATTTTTCAAATCAGTACTCTTATTTGTTTCAGTTCTATATCCATTTGTAACTTACTTATTGACTTACCCTCATATTTCCATCAGGGTCAGGCAAACAGATTATAAATAAAATCAAACATTTAGTAACTATACACTGAATTAAAACAAGTATGCAAGTTATTCAAAGCTGGAATGATGTATTTTATGGTTCTGATGATTAGAATGTATGGCTTCTAACTCCACTAGTAATTTGCAGTTCCATTTTCTTTACTCATCTCTCTCTCCGACAGCATATCTTACACCTTACCTTGCTCTTGGCAACTGCCTCTCCTTCATCCATTTCAAGATGAAGATCTTCCTCTCCTTCTTCTTCATCATCATCATCATCCTCCTCCATATCTCGATCTTCCTCCAACCGATCTGGAAGCCGACATCCAGCAACAGCTGGCATTGTGAGCAGTGCAATATCTGGTGGTTCTGGAATACAGTGCAGTCGACATAGTTCTCGCAGTAGAATACCCACTTGGTTCAGAACCTGTGAAAAAACAAGTATTCATTTCACATATCAAATGCAAACAAACGAAATTTATCACAACTCCATGAAAAGCTCAGGACAACTGGTTGAAAACAGGCAAGAAAAACTACGACTATTCATAGTTTCACAGTGAAACAGGCTGCAGGACAGATTTACATTCAATTAGAATCTTTCATTACAATTTATTACATACTTTTGCTAATATATGTATAACAGAATATCAAAATGTGTTCTGTGAATTAATGTAATGACAAAGTACAAAATGTCTAATGAGAATCTGAGATGTGGAAGAAATGTAGTGCAAGAATTAATGTGTGGGGAACACAGATAACAAAATAAAGGCATGGCTGGTGCAACCACAACCGCCCTCCCACCCTGTCACAATTAATAAATGAAATGTCCAGACATATGAATAAAAACCATCACTGGTGTTGTAATTCTTAAAACAGTTTCATTTACATCTTGTACAAAATGTTTTATATTACTACCAATTAATGGTGAGAGTCAGGATAGCCACAGGCTACAGGCTGGATGGCCCAGGTTCAATTACCAGCAGTGCAAGATCGTTCTCTTCTCCACAGCTTCCAGACCGACTCTGAGACCCACCCATCCTATCCAATGGGTACCAGGGGCTCCTTTCGCAGGGGAGTAAAGCAGCAGGGGCCCGAAGCTGACCACTCACCTCCATCTAGTGCCAAGGTCAAGAAAGGTGGAGCTATACCTCTACTCACCCATATGTAATGGCCTAGTGCTCAACTAATTAAGCAAAGGGGCAATTTTACCTTTACCAATTAATGGTAACAACATGGAATAAACAGTAGCAGAAATTAATTTTAATTAGGCAAAAAAAGGAGGAGGGGTTCCTTAAATGTGCAGATCCTAAAATCATGCCACACCAGTGGCTGCTATGTTCACCTGTGCTGTTACACCAACCCTGCATACAGCTACTAGCTATTTTCTACTGAAACTGCTATTGGCACAAAATGCAAAAACAGAAGTAATATAAATGCATGCAATGAACTATCAACAGTAAAAGAAGGGAAATAACTACTATATTAAAGGAAAGAGTACACAAAATTCAGAAGTGTCCTACATACATGGTTGTCTCTGCCAGAAGTATTACTAAGAATTTGGACAGCATTAGTTACACTTGTTTCTTCTGATTCTGCAAACCAGACTGGTGGAGTGGAGGGGTACGTTTCCTGTAATACAGTATAAACACATGCATCACTGGTAAAAGTAAACATTAAGGTAACAGCATATTTCCCAATATTTTTAGGAAACTGAAGTCACTAAGGAAGAATGATACTTGTCCTGATGTTTTCCTTCAGCATTTGATTGTTTACTCTTTTATTTAATAAAGTTTCTTTAAACTGCATAGATTATATAGCTTCAGTATCAAGAATTGAATGGGCTTTTGCACTGACCAAGTAATATCTAAAACATGCTAACAGCCTGGGAAAAACCCTCTTGTCCAGGTTCAAGCCTGCATCCAGGATTTTATTTCAGGAGTTAAAGGGAAGACAGACTGACATTTAACTGCAAATAAAGAGTATAATAATATGATTCATTCCACTATAAATGTTTTATTTCAGGAAAACATTAAAATGAGCATAACCTTAGTCTCTCAAACATAATGCAGACCTTTCCAACTTCCATGAAAGCAATACAGACAGAAACTGCATTACTATCAATAAATTCTACATCACTAAAATCATAAAATTTAAAAAGAACACATCAACATTTACTCCATTTTACATTAATATTTCAAGCACTAAACAAAAAACTAAAGGATACAAGTATATGACTTTGAGTCCATTACTGATGCAAAGACCAATACATGTTTCAATGACTGTGTATTTTAGATATCTCAAACATGAAACAACCTGAATGAAAGTTAAGCATTAATCAATATTCAGTATTAATGTCTTGCACAGAACTTCTACAACCTTCCCTACATACAAAATTCACTTCTGTTGCAAGGTCCATGATCTTCAGCCATGAACGTTCACATGCAATTAACATCTCTAAAATTTCCGGCCTAATCAGATTATTTTAGCTAATAAAGAAATCCTTGTTTCACTTTTACAAATGGACATTTAAAATACAAAAAGCAATGCAGCACATTCAAATCAAATGTGACACCACGCTGTTAGCTGTGAAAATCAGTATCACAATGCAGGATTAGAAATTTCTCTAAGTAATGACAACTTTGAAGATGATATACCATCAAAAATGAGTAAAGATATGAATTGTGAATATACATTAACTGTAGATGAACTGTACATAAACTAGCATCCTTGTAAACCATATTTAAAAATGTTAACCTTGTATTTCATATAATTTGGCTTATAGATTACAGTACTAAGACAAACATCCAAAAGTTTACAATTTGATTAACATTGTACCTTTAGCTTGTTGTATTTTTAGTGCTTCAACAGAATTTTAAGCATGCACATGCAATTTCAGATGTATTCTTTACTGTCAAATGTTACCTAATTTAACAAAAATGGTACCTGATGTATGAATTATGCTCTTAATATATTAAGAATCTTTAAAAACATTCATCTGTAATGAAAAAGTAGTTCTGTCCAGTGTGACTGGTTAAGATTTTCTTATTTCAAAATTTCATGTCCTTACATGTTTCAGTCTTCAGAGGGACACCTTTACATCAATACAGTTAGAATCCAATATTACAGTACATGTTCTAAAAGTTAAAATACATGTGCAATATAAATAATATACAATTGGCTGTAAAATCTAAAGTCTTTACAACTACAGTGGCTGTTCCAATACATTAAAATATTTATAGTTAGTTTGTTAAGATTCTATTGGAATTCGTAAACCAAGCTGGTTCATGTCATCACTCTTATTTCTTTTCATGGGGGCCGAATGTGTACCACCTTGTCGTTCTCGAGCAGAGGGTTCCGTAATATTGTCCTGTATGTGTTTGTGGCCCACTGTGTTGTTTTTATAATAATAAGAAATAAGAGGGACGACACGAACCAGCTTGGTTTACAAATTCCAGCAGAATCTTAAAAAACTATAAATATTTTAATGTAATGGAACAGCCACTGTAGTTGTAAAGACTTTAGATTTTACAGCCAATTGTATATTATTTACATTGTATGTATATATTTTAACTTTTAGAACATGTACTGTAACAGTGGCTTCTAACTGTATTGACATAAAGGTGTCCCTCTGAAGATGGTCTCTGAAGACAGAAACATGTAAGGGCATGAATAATTGAAAGAAGAAAATCTTAACCAGTCACACTGGACAGAACTACTTAACTTTTTCATAATATTAGTATGATGGACCAAAATGAAACAAATAAAATTCATTCATCTGTAACTTCATTTTCAATATTTTTCTATTCCTTGCATATTCAAAAAGTTACACACAAATGGTTCACATGGCCTTCATGTAAAATGGAACTTTCTGGATTATAATAGAAAGGTTCAAAATTCCATATAGAAGCTAACAGAACACAGTAGTGAGCAATTTACATCCATTTTATTTGGGGGCAACCAAATGGCAGGTCAGAGATGAAGCCCTAAACTGAAAAACCAAGGATATGGTAATACGCTTCATGGTCATGGTTATCACATCCTTTAGGAGACAGTGACAGACAAGCATGGAGGAATGGTGGAAAAAACTTGCTCCAATGCAACTTCGTCCACCATGAAACTCACATCAAATCATCTAGAATTGAACCCAAGGCTCCACAGTGAGAAGCCAGTATCTAACCACCCAACTTCCAGCATGATCTATATTCAAGCAAACATTTCCTTGGGCTCTATTTTACTGTCTTACTCTATCCCAGTCCAAATGGGCACTTTTTATGTTATAGCCCCATTTATCTAGGATACACATTCAGCCTATTAAAAACTCCTTCACAAACGCAACCTAAAAACATAGGAAAATATAACTCAAACCCCTTGTTACATATCCATGATTTATTCTGACCGTCTTACAATGCATACATTTATTCACCTTACTCTTCTCTCTTGCACTACATGTTTCGGCACTTAACATACGCAGTCACAGGAGTAAGACACAACACAAAGCACAATACACATGAAAGTAGGAAGAATACTCCGACAGAAGAAGATAGGTTTGACTCGTGTACTGAAATACAACATAAGGATAACAAATCCTGAACAGTTTTAACATTTTTAATATTTAAAATTTAGCAATATATATGACGAATATATATTTTAGTTATTTTAGTATAAAGACAACAGGGCATGCAATGCAGTATTTCAACGTACATCGAAAAGCACCTGAAGATGGCACTTTAGTCCCGAAACATGTAGTGCAAGAGAGAAGAGTAAGGTGAATAAATGTATGCACTGTAAGACGGTCAGAATAAATCATGGACATAAATCAGTGCAACAGGATGCTAAAATATAACCCTTGTTACATAGTTTCCTAAATTTCCAATTTAAATATGAGGGTCATACTGAAAGTCATGAACAACGATTTTTTGTAAAGTAACATGCTTTATTATTGACAAACCAAATGCTCCACCTCAATCTACAGACCTTTCTTTATTTTTCCACATAATCGCACCTTCTTTGTACACATTTCTTCAAGCGTTCTGGGAGTCTGAAAATTCCCCTTCTGTAAAATTCTGTTCCAGCCATCCAAAGACACTGATGCACTGCTTTCTGAATTGCCTTCCTTGTCTCAAAACGTTGTCCATGCAGCTGATCCTTCACAAATGGTAGTCGGAGGGTGCCAGATCAGGGCTATAGGAGGGGTGTGGAAGAACTTCCCACCCCATCTTTGCAACTGCTTCCAATGTCAGGCGAGCGGCGTGGGGGGCGAGCATTGTCATGCAAGATGATGTTTCGTCCTGGACGTTTATCGTGCAATGCAGGATGGAAATTGTGCAGCGTCTGGACAAAATGAGCAGCATTGATGATTTGCCCAGGTTCCAGGAATTCAGCCAAAATAAACCCCTCTGCATCCCAGAAGGCTGTGCCCATCACCTTCACAACTGATGGCACTGTCTTTACCTTCTATTTTGATGGAGAATGCAAATGGTGCCATTCCATACTCTGCCATTTCGTTTCAGGCTCGAAATGGTGAAACAAGCTTTCGTCACCTGTCACAATACAGAGCAAAAAGTCATCGCCTTCATGTCGATATCTCTGCAGCAGTTCTGAGGTGATGGCTTTTCGTTGAACTTTGTGGTCTTCAGTCAATAACCGCGGGACCCAACGAGCACAAACTTTCCATACCCCAAACTTTCAATCATCTCCAATACTGCACTGTGCCCTATTCCAAGTTTTCGGGCTACTGTGTCCACAGTCACATGCCTGTCATCTTGAATGATCTCATCCAATCTTTCCTTGTTGCGCTGAGTTGAGGCTGTTCGAGGACGACCGCTCCGAGGCTCATCTTCGATACTGGTGTTCCCATCTTTAAAATGTTTCACCCATCTTCGAACACTGCTCGCACCCATGCACATACCTCCATAAGCATGCTGACGTCTCTGGTGAATTTCTGCAGCAGGGATTTCCTCTTTCACAAGAAATTTGATGACAGCACGCTGGCGAAACGACATATGGTTGTCGGCCATTTTGTTAGGAGTGATACTGGTCACGTGATGCAAGCTATTGACATCACAAGACACTCAAGGTTAACACAACAGCTGGTTCCACCTACCACCATACTCCCTTTCGTCTGTTGTTCCCAGGTTGCATGCAAAAAAATGTTGCTCATGACCTTCGGTACGACCTACATAAATAAATAAATTTAATAAATTAATTCTTTCCTCCTCCTATAATGTAGTGAAATTAATGGGCCCTACCACTTACACACAGCAAAATGACAAAAAATTTAAATTTTTAATGTTTTGCATCCTGTTGCATAAATTATATTTAACAAGATAATTTAAATTACATATTCAGCAGTCAACGCAATGACTGTTTTGACTGACTGATTTAAAATCAACATGGTTTTATATCCACATCTGCTAACATTGTGTTACAAGACAATGATTAACTGTTTTTCTGAAGAACACCTGAAGATGATCCCTTAAGGGTAGAAAAATGTTATGCTGATTTTAAAATCAATAAAAACGTTTGTTGCATTGACAGTTGAATATGTAACTTAAACATCCTTGTTAGTCAACATTTATACTTGACTTCAGATTCTTGTGGTGGTTTATACAAAGCTTACGATTTACTGA